TGACACCAAACGACTGCCTCATTCGAGAAATCCTACGGTCAGTCATGTTATCGAAGTTTCCTGGGTACGACAAGATTTATACTAACCTTCAGAAACTGCTCGGTGGTGCGGCCGACAGCCTGAATCTCTTTCACGGCTACCAAACGACCAAGGAGTTCACCTTTGGAAATTACTCCAGATCCACCACGAAGGCTGGTTGGCTCCAGGTTTTCGATTCGACGAAGCTGCAGGCTCTGAGGGAAATGGCCTGACCTCCTCGACAGTCGGATGATAGTATCCAAGAACCGACATTTATACCATTCTTCTAACTGGTCTGACTTCATTACGAGCAACTACAAGCACATAAGCAACGAAGACGTCGAAAATGCGTCGGTCTTACCGTCTGCAGTAAGTCCAGCATAGACTGGGCCGTATCGTCTTTGAGCGTGACTAGCTGGGAAGTAGCGTGTGAGTCGGTTGAACAACTGGCAATCAAAGCCCCAATGTCTAGAATGTCTAGCGCGTGTAGTCTGGACTGGCTGATAAGAGATCGGTTACAGATGTGCAACTTCACTTGAGCCTGAACAAGATGAGCTGAACCAAACTCGACACATAACAAAGGAGGGAAAGCACTGACCTGGCTCATTAGTCCCGACAACGCGTCCTTAATGGCCTTGAAATTTATAAGACACCACATCTTGTCCCGTGATGTCCACTCTCTTCTCATATTCTCCAGGTCAATCAGCAGGCTACAGCAACGTTAGATTAAACAATGGAGACAGATCTTGCATGTACTTCGGCTTGTCGGGGGCACAAAGATTAAGGTGCGTAAACACATGCGCGTACAGAGTCTATCCGTAGACACTATCAGACCCGCCGCGTAACTTCATAACGAAGGTCCCACTGACCGGAAAAATGGGCATGCACCGTACCCCTTTGATGCATACCTGTCTCGCTGCTGCATCCAAGCCCTCAAATTCATCCACCAAATCCTGGACCTGAAACCTCACCGAGTTGCGAAGATGCTGTGTAGAGGTATGGGGAGAGTCCGTTCGGTGGTTACGGGATAGCGCAATGTCGTCGATGGTCGTTGGTGCGGGAGGCCGAACAGGATTCTGCTGCTGCCAAACAGAAAACTGTGTATTTGGAATCGTACTCAGCGAAAGATCGGATTCTGTGTTCAGTGTATTGCTCGATTCAGAAGGAGTGCTTGTCAAGTTGACTTTGGGCGATGAAGGAGAAGCTGGCGGTCGGTGCAGATCATCACGACGACCCAAGTTCCTGGCACGCGGCGCCCGGGAACCACCCATAAAAACGTGCTTCTCTCGAATATGATGAGGTATTTCCCATCTCGGCATGACTTTATGACATTGAAGGCATTTCATCGAAAACATTGGCGCGAACCGTGACACAGAAGGAAAGACTATCTTCGTTCTATATGGTTTGGTCACGGGAAGCTTTGTCACTGAAGGAAGACGGAGAAATTTGATAGTCTAGTGTGAGCACTTTGAAGTGCTTTATATGGCTGTAGAGCTGAGACCGCCTGAGCGTCAATTACTTACAACAATAAGTATAAGCACACAAATCGCACTGCAGTTGAAGAATTGGAATGGACACGTGTTGCAGTTGCGTCGATACTGGAGTGGCACAAGCTGAAGCGCAGACAATACAAGCAAGACAATAACATGTACAGGAGCTAGTGTTGAAGAGTATATCTTCATGCATATAACTGTCGGTTATGAGTGCTGAGCGGCGGTTTCCGAGTAGTCCGGAATCTACCGAGCCACATAAGTTCGCGTCCAAATTTTTTATTCTTACAACCTCGCCGATTCCTTATCACTCTTCCACTCCTACTCATGAGGAAGGGACATTATTCTTCGGCGTAGAAGGACTTCTACAGCTTCACTTTCGCTAGCAGCGCTATGCCTTTTGTTTTGTACATTTGGCGATGATGGTCTTCTAGATAGTGGTGAAAGCTACAAAAGTATCAAACTGAATCTATATATTACCCATTTCTATTGCACCCAATCTGACCCAAGTCTCGAAGTGAAGGTCACCGCCATTCATTCGTTCAACTTCGTTGCGATCCTTATCATGTTAGCTGGACTCGCAGATCACACCTTCGAGGATGATTGCCTGCCAGAAACTGAGCTCATTCGAATACCAAACATGGGAGCTAGAACATACGCCGTGACGCTAAATTTGAGCGATGTGAAGACGATGGTCAGCCTCACGACATTGCCAACAAGTTCGGACCATCCTCGCTCGTCGAGGATGACCATACCATCATCGTCATCGCCATGTTGTCGATAGAATCGACCATAAATCGTGACCTCGGGCTTGTATCGAAACTCAGATATCCACCAGTCTTCCTTCGTGGCAAATCTGGTAATGAACATGTCGACTGCTTTCTGCAATTGTTTCAGATCATGGAAAGGTCTGCACAAGGGGGCGCTTGCCCTGTAACTCATAGCTTGCAACGCTGCTCTTCCAAACGCACGTTTGTCCTCTCTGCAGGTAACAATTATCTGTGGAGGGATTGCCATCGCAGAAGCGACAAATTCATGTAGCGTGTGTAAAGCAGAGACAACATCACTAGGCAGGGCTGTTGGAGCTTGGGAGGACTGATGAGCAGAATCCATCCGACTCATGGTAATATCCACAAACAAATAGAAAACGGCAGTATGGCGGCTTGGCTACGGGTTCACCACGCTGTGAATAAGATGCACATCCGAGTTATCTAGCGCAGGAACGAGGCGTGAAGCGCCTGACCACCGGTCATTTCTTCCTTTCGAATTCGAATTTTTATACGTGATTGACGTTGTTCCACTAGAATTTCTACATGATATATGCATGATCAGTACTCGTACGAGTTTTAGGCTCGAGCTATCGTATATCATCATGTAGCTGAATAACACTGACAGTGCTCAGTTAATGTATATTTAGAACCGGACTCTCTCCCGGACGAATTCGTCATGATTGTTCAAACACTGAATTCCAATTCTGCTTGTTCACTGCCTCGATGGGCCTTCCACTTGTTGCATTTGCGGAAAGGGACTAGAAGGAGTCACGGCAACCGAATTCAAACGCTTTCCCCGTTCTGAGTAGTAATTGCTTTCCGCTACTTTCTGTCAAAATTTTGCCGCTGTGCTTGAGGACAGAACTGGAGGTTCAAGTTGAAGGAGACATGGCAAACCTGGGATCGAGGTTGGTATACGAGTCAGTGTTCAAGTTCATATATATTTACACATCGACAACAACATCGTTACTATTCAGCGCATACTCCAAGGAGTTTCCTCGCGACTTCCTCGGTAACCCGCGGCAACGGGCAGCGGCACAAGCAGAGCCGATCTTGGGTCACCATCGAGTCTGCCCTGGAATCTGGGACACTCGCTCAGTCTTACACAGAAGTTTCGCTGGCACTCGTCCTCAGCACGAAACATTCGGAACACACATCTGCCTGGTTGTCATTAAGTTGATGCGCGAGATTCTACCTGTCATAGCGGGTGCAAGCGCTTCTGCTTAAACAGATTTTGCCCGCTTTCCCAAGCAACAGACTGAATTGAGATCCTGTGGAGCGGCGAGTAGGCAGCCGCTCCGGAAATAGTGGGGTCGACGGTGACATGTTTAGATTGTTCTGACCCTGTATCGGCGAAGGCAGGCGAATAGTATGCCACTTCTACCTAGTATTCTCCCCTCTTTGCTGGAAGAGTTTCTTCAGGGAATAGAAGAAGAGTATCACATGCGGCACACGATCGATAAACCTTTCCAAGTCTCATCGATGATTTAGGAGAACAGATTCCCTCACCAAAACCCTGTTAGCTGTTCAGATCTCTTGGGATCAAGTCAGTATGTTTTTCATCTTCTCGAAGCACACATCTCACAACATTCCAGATATATGGCCCCACACCATGCTGGTATGACAAGGCTTCTATGTATATCCAGGGATTCACCATGGTAATGTCTTACTCTTACTTGGCTGTATGATGATCTCACTATGTGGCGCTCCGATCTGAAGAAGACCGCCGTTTCTTGCGCCTACCATATGCGCCGTCTTCCCTCCAGATATCCCCTTCCAAGGAAGCACAGCGTGGGTTGGAAGTGCTACTACAGAGCTGCTCAAAATTCGGAGTTCCTGCGTGATGGATTCGATCCAAATGTATGTGTTCCATGTTTGTATGAGAATCAAATGGCAGTACGGGGGAAAACGCTAACCCGGCGCTTCACGAAGTTGTTATTGTGTTCTTCTACACCGGCCCTTATCGAATTGAACACAAGTTCCCTGGCCGTGCTTGGTCCTGGTTGCCGCCGGGGTATTCATTTTACACTCGGACAAACTGATTTTCCTGCCTGCTAGAGTTGTTCAAGCTTATCGTAGACCCAAGCTCGTCGAGCAACTCGAATCATGGGCTCGGGTCGAATCGAAGGGACCCGTATCTTCCTGCGAGTCCACCACCGACTGCTTCAACTAGAGCGGCGTCGTGCAACACTGATGGTCATAACGATGCCAATATCTACCCTCATTCTTACCTTCAGATCGAGCTGGATTGAATGGATGGTTTCCTCACCCTTTTTCGTGCGCATCTGTCGTTCATACATAGTTTTTAAAATATAATTTTCGAATAAGGAATATCATGCTTTTAATAGTCTGACTTTGTTTAGTAGTCAGACCTCGGATCTATTTGGGGTTCTCCTCGGTTTTTTATTCGGCGCATACTTGATGAGATTATGAGATGACGGTTGTACCAATGAGAGCTTGAGAATTGACGCGCACGGGCTGTATGTTTTTGACAAGCACACGCCGCTGACAAGTACTAGCTATATACAAGTTGATCAACTGGTACATGTGGACGTGCACGTTCTGTGGTACCGTTTCAGCTAATTTTACATAACAACGAATTCGATTGGAAGGCTTGGCTTAGCCAATGTGGAGCCGCTTGGCGTGGTGCGCAGTTCTACATACTTGGATCCAATCGTGCTTCTTTAAGTTATCCGCCATCTACTACTAGACTGCTAATACCATGGCCAAGATCCCTTCGCTGCTCTCCATCCGATCCTTGTCCACAAAAGTCCTTTTGCTTGGTGCTATCATCACCTTCCTGATCACACTCTACACGTTCTCTTCTCCATACTCTTTTCGCATATCAAATTGGTCCTCAATATTCTCACAGGAACGACAGCGCAGTTCCTGCACTCCGGAAGAGTGGTCGAGTGGGCGTTGGGTATATAGCCCGACGTCCGACTTGGTGAATTTAACGCGTCCAGAACAGGCACTTTCCTTGGCGGGTTTTGAAGGTTGTGCTGCAGACCGTGAATACCACTGGCATCTGGGCACAGACCACGAAGAACTATGGGACAGATTTCCTAAAGTCTCTTCATACAGGTGGTTGCCTTCGAGCAAGTGTGATGTCCACCCTCTCAATGGCGCAGCGATGGTCAAGGACATGGTAGCGAATGGCGGATGGCTTTTACTGGGCGGTATGTCGGCTCCATTCTTTGGTGTTCGGGTCTCATGCGTTAATTTACCTCACCTTTAGATTCGATAACAGAGAACCATTTCTTTTCGTTGTCGTGCCTCTTGTACCCGCATGTCCGCGCAACCCCGAATTACACTGAAAATCCCTACTTTGACCGTGCATGGCAGCAACATTTATACCTGTCGCCATCGTCACCCATAATATCCGAACTCGTCATGCCGGAGGGCTTCTCCATCGAAAACACACCACTCGTTTCGTTCCGACGTGTTGACCTGCTTCTTAATGGAACAGAATTAGATACGATATACCACAGTCCAGCATTTTCTCTTGAACCCACCGAGTTGGACAGTCAAGATCTTGGTTCTCAATATACGAAGGCAGAGTCCGTATTCGGCGACGAGGCATTTTGGTCTCTTTCGCCATCAGAATACATGGCCACACTCCTTGATTCGCCCCCGGATGCCAACTATGGTACGCTGGTTGTGAGTACTGCCGGACACTGGACAACCGGCACATTGCGGGCATTTTACGACGAGGACGCTGGAGAAGATGCTGGCTATGGTATCCATAATGTACTTGCATTCTTCAAGGTTGCGATGCGGGCTTGGGCAGGTGAAGTACAGGACGCCATCACAGAATACTACAAAAATGGGGGCAGGCGTCCAAAACAGGTAGTGGTTAGAGCGTATCTGCCTGGTCACGAGAACTGCCACAACATCTTCGAGCCCACGGAGACAATCACGCCATGGGTCAATAAGTGGTATAATTGGCCGTGGATCCAGGACTTCAACACAGAATTCCAGGTCAGTACTTTGAGACAGATACTTGGCGCAAGGATGCTGACTCTTTCTCCAAGGCACTGCTGTCATCATCCGAATTTCCAGACATTCATTTTCTTCCGATCGAGAGGCCAGGACGGCTGCGCCCTGATGCTGTGAGCTAATTTTAGTTTCACGCACTGTTCACATCTCATATTTAACTGTCCTACCAGCACGCCTCTGGAGATTGTTTGCATCTCATATCAGGTACTGGTGTTATCGAGGGATGGTCACACTACATCTGGCATTTTGTTACGCGCGAACTCAGGCAGAAAGATATCTCTCACCACTAGACACTGATCTCGAAGTAGCTCGGGGCCCGGATACTATAGAGAGATACCCCCTTTTCTAAGGAAAGAACACTCTGATCTGCATGTATATATGACACCAGGTCGCACGGACTATGCCTGTACCAGTGTTGGATACAGATAAAGCAATTTGGATATCGATTGGGGTGTTTCCCTGGTCGTCCTGTTCTCTACCTTCAAGTTTGGTGATTCCGCGGGTTCAGCGTGTTTGGATGTGACCTGACACTGACCTCCCGCAAGTTTCCTTACGGATCTACTTGGGACAAACTTCACATTCAGAGGCCGACGGCGCAATCAGGTATTTTGAAGTGATTGTCGTATATGCAAGAAGACGAAGGATAGTCACCTGCTCAACGGCGAGGAAGAGCTTGTGCTTTGTGGCTGTTTCGGGCATGCTTATACCGGTCCCCGATCCATATTGAAATATCAATTTCAGCGTACCAGGATCTGTATCTCTGCGACGATGTCAATGTTCCTAGGGATACCCCCTCAAACGTTGGTTCCTAGCTGCGATTAAGAGTGTAGATCCTACCCGATCAAGTTGATATGAAAACGGAGTCACGGCGTCTCTCATCATGGCAGTCACGTATAGAGGTCAAGCCAACGAATGATCCCTTCGTGACCTCTATCCATCCAGCTGAAGACCTTGCGTATGATCACTAAAGCCTTCGGCCACGAGAGCCAAGCTTATGACCAGGAATAGTGCCGTTGCCGCAATCGCATACAACGGTAAGGCACCTCTTGAAGTTCTTTGCTGATCTTCGGCCGGATCTGACTCGGGGATGGTAAACATGAATCTTCTTCTTTCTTGCGAAGTCCTTGCAACTGAAAACCCTAGATGTTTGTACGCGTTCCTACTGGCGGGACTGATCGTGTACTGTGTATATTGCTTAGTGGTGCCGAAGTCCGGTTCGGTTCGGTTCTTAGGCCTCTAAATGCGAACGCCGAACTGGACCATCGGTCGCGTTCAGGCAAGGAGGGCGAACGCTGGACCGGACCCTTATGAACGCGTTCACAAGCGTTCGGTTCAAGTTCAGAACGCGTTCGAACGCTCGAACGCTACATATAATTTGACAAAAATTGCAAGAAATACATGAACCGTAAATGAGTAGCTAAATTTCGTCCATGGCATAGTGTTCGTGAGCAGCAGCAAACTCAGCTTGAACCGTTGCAGAAATGTGGCCTTGACGGTACCCACTCTTCAATAACTGAAGGGCCTCGAATGTTGTTGGCAACAAACGATTACGGCGCGCAGTCCCAGTGATGCCGCCACTCGAAAAGGCTCGTTCAGATGCAACGGCAGAGCCTTGAATAGCGAGGTAATCCTTTGCAATGCGTGAGATGGTGGGATATTGAACGGAATGGTGCTAAAGGCATAATGAGTCAACTTGCAAGGAAATGCGATGCGAAAAAACTCACACCCCACCACGCCACTATATTCTCAACATCCTCTAATGGGGCAGCAAGGTAGTCGTCAAGCTCCTGGCGAGGTCTTCGATTTGCGGTGTCATTTGCGACACGAGTTTTGACAGCATCGCGCATCCAGCTATGGCCGTATGACCCATGGCGAGCAAGCGAGGCAGGAGCTGCAATAGACGGCTCTGCAGCAGCGGGCGAGGAGTTGTGATGATAATATTTGTCAAAAACCTTCCGCAAACTTCTCATGCCCTCGTCGAAGTCGTGAGGCTCCCATTTACCCTTCGCATATGCCACCTTATAGTTAGGATCAAGCGCTACATTGTGCATTAGATAGGGCATCATAGTAAATAAAACACATACCGAGGCAAACAAAATAAACATCAGTTTCGTCAATCTTGTGGTACCATTTGCGAATATTGTCGAGGCCAGAGTTGATTGCGGATGAAAAGTCGTCAAACTTCGAAGAACTAGCCATGTTTTGCCAAGTTTGTTGGAGATACTCGAGGACTGGAATTGCGCGCCATACAGTAGGTTCACGAGTCGCCGAAAACGATTGTTGTGCATTGGCAGGTTCCTGGTTATACAGTAGGTTAATACAACATTTGAGACTCGACTGGACACTCGCACATACCTGAAGCACGTCGTGCATCAATTCCAACTTCTTCCATTCTTCGGCTGAAAGCTTGAATGCTCCATATGACTTGCCCTGCAAGTTTGGGACTTCGTCACTGTCATCCGCCAGTTGTATGAATCTATTCACCCCCTGCGGCAGATCAAATTGAGTTAGTATTGGGCATAGGGATAGAAACCAACTTACTTTGCGTAGCTTAAGGGTGCGCTCCAACATACCAAAGAGTGAGGCCCATCGCGTGCGAATCCATTTCAAAAGCTCAAGCTTCGGCTCATTGACCTCGACACAACACTGTTGAAAAAAAGTGCGTGCTTGGGGAGATTTCCGAATCTGCGTAACAAGTGCGAGGGCTTTTCCTGCGGTGTCGGCAACCTCGAAATCAGTCGTTTCATCATCGTCATCTTCATCGGCCATGTTCTTGAGGAGCACGCTTGCTGGTGTGGGTGCGACCTCCTCGACAAAGTGTTTCGCAGCTAAGTGCAAGGCGTGCTCCATACAGCTGAATAGTAGACATCAATATATATAAATCACGATATTAAATAGTTCACTTACCGCACACGGTGTTCCCCAGCAATCCATTTCTTGCCGGAAGGGTCGATAGCAAGCGCGACGGTCTGAATTGCTGTGTCGTTGTTGGTAGCATTGTCAGCTGTAAACCATCCAACCTTAGTGCGGATGCCATAGTTATTGATAGTTTCAATCAGGATTCGTCCAATGTTGCTCCCACTGTGATTGCCGTTGATGATGGTGAATGCAAGCTGCTCTGTCTTCAACTCCCACTCATGAGGTTTCCCAGCTGGGGAGTCAATATAATGCGCGGTGACGGAGAGAAAAGGTACCCCAGGTTCAGAGGTCCATGAGTCGAACGTGATCGAAATCTTGCTATCAACTTGCTTAAGTTTCTCCTTGACACGTTGAACGGCAAGCTGCGCCCGTTCAAGAATTTCATCTCGAGTTTTGGTGTGGTGAGGAATATCCCTGTCTGAAAGGGAAGGCCGGAGGTATTGAAGGAGCCGGCGAAAGGGTCCCTTGTCAACGAGTTGGAATGCCTATCTATGGCATGAACATCCTAAGTCACGATTACAAAAAAAAACACTCACCTCGTCCTCAGACACGATAAGCTCAACAATGTAATCCATTAGACCGGTCTTGGTGAATTCAGGAATTTTAGGCGTGAGGGAGGCATCTAACGTTTTCTGCAAGTCGTCGGTTGCTTTGCAGTTAGGAGGTATCGCCCGATCATGCATCTTGATACCTCGTTCTTTGCAGCGGTCGCGGTATATTGGAAAGTGACACTTCGCATTTCGAGCGATATGGGTGCGGCGAGTCGAAACACTGCCTTTGAAAAAGCACTGATTGGTGGGTACATCATTGGCTCTTGAATTGACAAAGTTAGTTATGTGTGTGACGTTCAAAGTAAAAGTAAAAACATACCTGCATATCTCGCACCACCAGCCATCTTCGGGTTCTTGGGTGTGCGGATTGATGCGTCCCTTCTCCTGAGTAAATACTACCTTCAAATCCCCACTGCGCTCCTCTTTCTTCTTATGCTTGCGATCCTCACGGTCCTTGTCTCCAAATACCTTGGTCCGCTCGTAAGCTTCCTCCCCGTCATTGTCTTCGGCCTCTTCTTCATCATCTGAACAATCCTCTAGTGCAGGAGGTTCGTCGTCATCGTCATCATGGTGACGGACCAGATGGGACCCACGTTGCACTCGCTTGGGTGCAGGCTGTCCTTGGGGAGGCGCTGGAGCCACTCGTTTGGCTGGAGTCGTGTTGCCAGCATCGCGGATTTTTTCTGTCGGTTTAACAGCTCGGCCTGAGCGAGACACAAAGGCAGTTAGCTTGCCATTGGATGCAGGAGGTGGAGGTGGAGGAAGCATGGGCGTGTCATCGTCAGGATCATTGTACCAATCGATGGCACTAGCATCCTTGAGTTGGCCGTCAGATCCAAGTGCGCACGACATTTGTGCAGCAAGGAGGGTGAAGATTGAACCTGTAGTAAGTAGCTCATTTATTCCAAATTTTATGATAAGAGATCAAAAAAATGACGCACCTTGAACATCCTGTTGCCATGCAATTACTTGGTGTTGAAGCTTGAAGTACCAGAACGAGAAACCTGAGAATATGTTCTGAAAATAAAGACCATTGAAGTCTGAATAAAGATTAACATTTGTTTAACATTAGGCTTACCAGAACATCGAGTAGATTACCAGGGAAGTCAGATCTCGCCAATGGAAATGTGTTGGGTGTTTTGGCTGCGAAGTCCGATCCGCTATTGATTGTCCCGAGATCGATCGACATGCCGGTTGCCAGAAGATCAGAGCAGATATATTGGTGGATCATGCAAAGAATATGAGAACACGTTCAGACGGGTTCGAACGGGTTCGAACGTGTTCACAGTATTCAGGCAGCAGCCGAACGCTGAACTTAATAATCAGTTCGGTCCTTATACTATTTCGAACCCAGGACCGAACCCACGGTCCGGTCCGGGAGGGTTCAGGTCCGAACCGAAGTTCAGAACCGGACTGCGGCATCACTAATATTGCTATCTAATCCGATGAGGCTCGGACCAAAGTAGAAATTGATGACGCAGTATGCGGACCCACCAGAAATACAACATTCCACTATCGGAACTTCCTACAGGTTGAGGGGTATCTGTCATGAAACCCCGTTACGAGTATGAGCGCAAATTGTGGTGTACCATACTGTAAAGACACATTCATCAGCGGACTCAAAAGACTCGTGAACGTTTACCCCTTGAATTCCCGGCAATAGCGGGTTTCGCGGAGTCATCGCCGTAAAAACTTCCTCTTTCAATTGATCTTGGTGTCGGAAAGTAAAGATACTACTATTAGTCTACTAGTACTGTCTTCAAACTTAAATCAAAGGACAAATTCTGCCGCGGCGCCAGCGGCGTTCTCTAGGGAACCCC